CGAGGTCGTCAAGGTCCTCCGTGACTCCAACCCTCCTCGTGCCAAGCACAGGATTCACTGTCTTCCTCACTGGTTACCTTAACTCCGGAAAGGCTGCCATCGCCCGTGCTCTCCAGGTTACCCTTAACCAGCAGGGAGGCCGCCCAGTCTCCCTCCTTCTCGGAGACACTGTCCGTCACGAACTCTCCTCCGAGCTCGGCTTCTCCCGTGAGGACCGTGACAAGAACATCCAGCGTATCGCCTTCGTTGCCTCCGAGCTCACCAAGGCCGGCGCCGCTGTCATTGCCGCCCCAATTGCTCCATACGCTCACTCCCGTGACGCTGCCCGTACCACCATCTCCAGCAAGGGCACCTTCTTCCTCATCCACGTCGCCACCTCTCTCGAGTACGCCGAGAAGACCGACAAGCGTGGTGTCTACGCCCGTGCCCGCCGCGGTGAGATCCAGGGCTTCACTGGTGTCGACGACCCATATGAGGCTCCCACCAACGCCGACCTCACCGTCGACACCGAGAAGCAGTCCGTCCGCTCCATCGTCCACGAGATCATCCTCATGCTCGAGAGCCAGGGCTTCCTCGAAAGATTCTAAACGTCTCTTCCTAGTCTCCACCCTCTTCAACCTACTCCTTCTCATACTCCTTCCTCTTTATCCTTCCCCGCCCCGTTATAGATTTCCCATTCTTCTCTTCCCTACCCAGCGGAGCTAGTATCCGTTTTCATCTTTCCCTCTATATACCTATTGAAACCTAAAGAATGTACACATAACGTTTTTATATTGCCTGGGGCTTTGGTGTCGTACCATGTGGCATTTTGATGTGAACTGAGATATACATACATGATGGCAGTTGCGATGGCAATGCGATGTGGTGTTGGATTTCCTATTGTCTTTTCCTTTGTTGGACCTGTCCTCCTTTTTCTCTTATGATAGACTACCTGGAAAATAGTTGAATGAGAAAAGAATTATTCAGTAATCCCTTTATTTGTCCCCGGCCTAGTACATCTATTCCACCAAAAATATACAGACCCATTCATAACACCTTTCTAGAAGTCTTATGCTAGTATATTTTGACATGTCATATATCAAAATGACGGGATTTCATTCCATTCCTTGCTGGGTCTCTCCGTTCAATTGGGCCTAACCGTCAGTCGTAGGAAATATATCCGCTGGCCTTGTCTCGCAGGGAAATAGAATAAATACGCTGTCCTCGTAGAATGCTCGTCCCATCCAACCCATAAATACGAATCAAGCAAGAAAATCCCCGGAGAATGGACTTGTCATTCTAAGCGGCTCCGCACACAGCCCTATTTTTGCTGTCAGGACAAATTTTCCCCTGTGGATCACTTTCTCCGCGTCCTCCTGCTGAAAGGCTTGTTCAACACCCCTACCTCTAGAAATTTTCCGTCATAAATATAGTGTGTAGTAGATATATGACAAACATGTACCAAATCCCAGTCATGGTCAAGTCGGCCGGCACGCTTAGGCCTGACGTCTTTGTCCGACCGATGGACCCTTCCTTCGGCCGGGACGCAAGCTGAACCTTCCCTAGCCCGAATGCAACGGAGGTCTCAAGGGTTAGAGAGATCTCGAGCCTCGTTGTGGCCATGGCGCCCAACTGCATGCTGACATAGCACGGAGTATATAGGGTTGGGTAGGCCCCTGACACTTGCATGCCATGTTGACCCCTTCCGTGGGCTTGGGTAGGCTGCTGAGGCGGCGGATCTCGGCCTTCCAAGAGATAGTTCGCATTTGTCGTTCTAGATCACCGTGATTGAGGCGGCGTTTGATCGCCAGATCTCACCGGGATAATTTGTATCAGGTCATCCCAGATCAAGCGAGACAAGGCAAGATAAAACGATGTAAGGTTGGCATTTCCGCACGACTCGTATTAGCTCATGGCCATTTTTTTTTTGTAAAAAAACGTACACCCTTGTGGACATCTGCGGATAAGGGGCTCGAGTGTCCACCGTTATGGAGCGATTGGTATCGTGGGTCCGTCAGAGCTAGATTGGGTATATATTTATATACTTACTTATGTTTCAGATGAGTACCGCATCCAGGTTAACCTTGGGGTCCTTGATGGGTGCGGACTTTATCTGTAGCTTTAAGTGTGTCAAAATACACCGCTAACTAAAACCCTTTCATTGAAGTGCTTTGATAAGACAGAAATGGAGTGGATGCAAGGTTGGAGAGGCGAATTGTGCTTATTGGATATCGTATTGCTCCATCTTTTCACTCAATGTTAGATAATAGTTTGTAAATGTGAGTATCACCACGTTAACTTGTCAAAGTATTGGTCTATCGTATTGACTGACATCTTTGTTACCATCAAAGTTGGGTATGTAGTTTGCCGGTTTTGAACAGGGAGATATTTAACATGTTATACTTACCTCCAGCATACCCCCAGCGAGTAGGCCCATTTATAAGATTCGAAGACAATGGTTTATGGTCTAGGGTGAATAACTAAAAGCAGGTGGAAATGAATACTCGGAAGAAGGGGGTTTAGGGTAAGGTAATTTGTAGTCATGCGACGGACAGCATTGCAGTAGCAAGCTGTGATCTGGCTATATTGTCGTTAGTTCCGTGTAGTACTACCATTGAAGGACCCCACCTGGCAAAGCACCGTCGTAGGAGTTGTGATAGTTCGCGGGGAAAAGTTCCTACTTGCCTAGCAACCAGGCTAGAGTCCAGAACATGGGTACTGATCTATTAACTCTATTTGCTTGGTTTGATGATATCCGATTGAATAGATATAAGGGCCATAAATGGGGGAAATAGTGATGAAGATGAATGGATGGACTTGATATATGCTTGGCTTGTGCTATCCCTGGCACCTGTGGGGGGAAATATAACCAGAAGCACTCTAAGGGCAAAGCTCATATAGAATACATATTTATTAGAGCATGGAACTGAATAAAAATGGATATATCCTGCCCAGGTCAAGTTCTCGCTTGAAGATCCAGAAACCGAGATTCATGCTGTATGGAATACCAAATGCTAGAAGCCCTGCTCAGTGGTAACGGACTTCGTTCAGTCCTGATATATGATCATTTCCGTAAGGATTCATAATGGTATTTCTTCCCTTGAGTTTCCTTAAGACTTAGACGTAAATATGATGGCTTCGTGGGTATTCTTTAGCTCCATCTAAGAAAGCTTTCCCTCAAATAACTGCTGGGAATCCCGTTGCCGGAACCCTGAGACTCGCCAGTAAAACCCTGCACCGGCGCCCAACCGAATAACAGTCCATAAGAACGGTTCTTTGCCTATCCTGGAGTTCTAGAAAGTAATCAAATCTATTGAAGTTGTTGATCGTTGAAGTTGAAGTTGATATTAAGAAATGATGCAAACAAGGCAAACAAAGCTTCAACTTTCCTTTTTGTGACTTCAAAAAATTATTTGATATTTGAATATTTAACAAAAGCACCAACAGACGAAGAGATCGCAAGATGCTTTCTTTACAGCCACATATACGGCGGATACCGCGGTTAATAAGGCTTCGGCCTCCAAATAATGTCGCTCGTTTCTCCAATCCGCGACCTTTTACCAGCAACTCCCAACTGCTGCTTATTACCGCACCCGCCAACAGACCACAGCTCCCTTTCCTCTACACCTCTTCGGCTTCCGGACACCCTCTATTCCCTGGTCGAGCGCTCAATGTGGTGACCCTTGGTCGGCATGTAACGCGTCTTATAAGCACGGAACGCCGAAGAAAGATAACCAATGGCATAAAAATCGGTTTGACGGTTTACGCGATTATTCTGCTTCTATACGTTGCGCAACAGGGTCTCTACCAAGAAACTATAGAGCGTATGTTTCCTACACCACCGGAATGGTCATGGAAAAGTAGATGGTATCTACGGACTGCAATGGCTCTGCAATCTCCTGAGAAAATGGGCCGAGTGGCTACCAGCTGGCCTGGTGTAGGAAGTTACTACAGGGAGCTATTGGCCCGGTTAGAAGATCCTGAAATTGACGGTAAAGGGTTGAAAGAGCGGATTATCAATGCTGGAGAAGGGGAGGCCATATTAATTGATGGAGTGGGTAGAGGAGGATATGACATTGAAGGAATGAGCGAGCCTTGGAAGAAGGGCTACTTTGAATGTCTGATGGGAGCCGCCGAGACAGCTGAAAAACTTGATGGATGGCTAGAGGACACGGTGACGCATATTGCCTCCCCTCCAGAATACGTTGTGGGCCCCTCAAATCCACGGCCAAAGCAAGGACCGAAAGGTTCAATTGCTCCGCTCGAGGAGAACTGTGTGCCAGCATACCAGAGCCCGTCAGTCTTTTACATGAAAATATTAACAACCAAGGGATTCCAAACCAACCAGAAGCTTGACGCTGCCCTGGCTTATGCTGACTGGCTTGATTATAAAGGGTTGAAAGACACTGCTGGAGAAGTGTACCGGTGGGCCATGGATATCGCGGTTGAAGGCCTTAGTGTTGACCCCCAGAAAGTCGTTGACCCGAAGACTGGCATTCTAAAGGACGGCGGAAATAAATATGTAACAGAAAATCTACTTCGAACTTCCAAGGCAATGGGCGTTCATCAAGTACGCACTGGCGATATAACATCAGCTTTGGCCGTCTTTCTCTCTGTCCTAAAATCCCGGCGGAGTGTGACTGCATCAGAAGACTCACTCCCGAAGGCTGGCAGCTCAAGACAGGATAAATCAAAGACAAAGAAGAACGATGCAATAACCGCCATCTCTTCGTTCATCTCTCCACCTCCATACCCCATTCCAGTCCGGACGGGAAACGAACCTCCCGTCCGCTCTCAATCCTCTGCTTGCGAAGAAGCAGGTCTAATGGTGTATATCGGCGAGATTATATACGCCTCCTCTTCCCAAGAGACTGGCCTAACCTGGACTCGCGACGCTGTCGACCAGGCCGAGATAGCCCTTCTTCAACTTGATGCGCTGCAGGAACAGAAACGCCTCGCAGCCTCACCGAGTCATGGGATGCAGTATCAGTCTATGGAAGAGCAATGCCAGCATTGCCTCCGGTCAGGTCTTAAAAACTGGAAACAGATGGTCCGCTCACTTGTTGTCAAGGCCGAGAAGGAAGAACTAAAGGCTATGGACGAAGTTAACAACTACTGGTTTGGTCGTGGGCCAAAGAAAGTAGCTGAGAAGCAAACCCAGCGTCGTCGATGGGAGGCAGAGGAGATGATATTGGGTGATCGTGCCAAACGGATCCAGCGTCTCATCGGGGATGACGGGTTTTCTGCTCTGACCTCAGGAGATAGGGTGTTCTTTGGTTGAGGTTGGAGCATAGCTGGATTCTGTATGATATGATACTTATCTCGGAGTGGTTTGGCGTCTTGGGTGCGTATATAAACGATCTACTTATTATATTTAATGTTTGATATATACCAAATACTACGCAGCGTCTGTATGCCATTGTGTTTCTCCTACAAATGGTATAGGAGAAAGATTGATAGATGTTCCTCCCTATGGCTTGGCATGGAATCAAGATCCCAAGCCCCTTGTTCATCATACTGACTCGTATATGATTTAGTTACGGGCTACAGGGTACGGGCATAGACGGAGATGAACATACCAAGGAGAAGATCTGATAATATTATGCTTATTAAAAACGAATAGAATCCCTGATGCATGGAGACTGGGAATATCGACATCAAACCAGCGAGAAACGTGTTACCATATACGAGCATTCCCCTTGACAATGCCAAACCCATAAGGCTTCATCATGGAGGATGGACGAAAAAAATATATTATGAAACAGGCATTGGAAAATGGTGTGACCGGTCTACAACAGGATGTTGAACAGACAAGAGTGCTTGTTTGCATTCATATGGCTCGGTGGCTATGTACATGCATATAGACATATATACGAGTAAGCACATTCTCAGAAAAATGGAGAGAGATAGAAAAGCAGTCAGTAACAGGAGGGGGTAATCAATATCTAACGCACAGGCAGTATAAACGGGTAAATAAAAGAATTATTCACAGTCAAAAGGCATTGACAAAAGAGTAAGTATTGAAAAGGTATATATCGAAGGTGATTTTTTTTGGTATCTTTGCTCGGGGATGGTCCTGAGGGAAGAAGAAGAACATGTATGAAAAAAGAGAGTAAGAAGAAAAGCCAAAGAAGATCCAGCCCGCTAGCTCTTAAAAGACGGGCAACGTTATTGAAGCAAAGCACAGTCATTATCTCATGACCTGACTATGAGCTGACATTGTCACCTTTACCACCAACGACGACCGCTTGAGCTCCTTTCTCGAAGAAAGTGATGGAGAGAGTATCGAAGCCGAGCAAGAACGTGTTATCGCCGTATTCAAGCTGCACTGGTTTAAAGGTAGGGAGGTTATTCTCTATTCCGGAAGGACGACGGAGAGCATCCTGGATAGCATCGTGAGCTGCATGGGCAGCGCTGAATTTCTCAGTCTTCTCGAAGATGTAAAGAACTGATATCCGGGCGAAGTCAAGAACGTTCTGAGATGGATCAACACTTGGCATCGGTGTAGGCAATGTTGTTGAAGTTGGTGTTGATGTGCGAGTCGGGGATGATGTAGGTGATGAAGTCCGTGTAGAAGATGAAGTGCGGGTGGGCGTAGGTGTGGAAGTCGGTTGTGGCGTAGTGTTCTGAGGAGCTCTAGCTGCCAGGTCGACATTCCCGGAACGGCGACGGTTTGCAAGAGTATACTCAAGTAGAGCACTGTTTCTAGGGTCCTTGGGTGCTGGGAGCCCTCTCTTTTGATTGCGGCCGTTAAAAGAAACCAAGGCATTTTCCACGTTACAGGAAACATTCTCAGAGTCGAAGAGTAACAACAACTTCCCAACATCAAGAGGAATGTTGAAGCTCCTGAGCGAGTTAATGACTAGTCTTGGAATCGCGCTACCAACAGTTGCATCATGGCGAAGATTTCGGTTATCCTTCAAATCGGCGATGACACAGCCCTCGTCGGCAAGAACACTGCAGGTGGTACCTCTATAGCCCTCAGGGCAGACGCAGCTGCAGGAGCCTGGGGTACCGACACTGACACCTCTGTTGTTGCAGGGGAGTTCGAGCTCACAGGTCATGGGCGAATGGTTGCGTGGTTTGCCAGCGACAGCGAGTGGAATGGTGATTATAATAGCCAGCAGAAGAACCAGTCCGATGCAGAAGACGATGAGAGCCGGTGCAGGCAAACCGCAGAACCGGCGCTTAGCCTTTGGAACTTCGACCTCACTCTTACCCTTGGAGTCATTGCCGGCTTGAGCAGGGTTATTGCCAGGAGTCTGGATACCAGGGGGAGGAAAGCAAGCGAGGATATCATTTATCGAACCAGAGTATCGACGCTCTTTGTTCTTGGCCTCTGAACTTGCATTGTACATTTCGAACATCGCAGTTGGGCCCTTGCTGGCCGTCTTGCCGCGATCAAGATTTGATGCTAACTTGGTAGCCCTGCGGATCAGATCTGGCAAACTGGTCAGACTGCTCTGACCTCTGGTTCTTTTCCGCTGATGTTCAGGCCGGGTGGAGCAGGCAAGTCACTGAACTGTGAGGCTCTGCGTCCACCAAGTTCGATATCTCTGAACTCGGAATCATTGGTAGGCTGCTTGTGTATTATCGGCACCTCGTCGCCCTCTGGCTCCTCTTCTTCGTCAAAGGACTCAACGGAAGAGTGCGAGTTTGCACGCAGCCGGCTTGGTCGGAGTGGGCCTGTAGGATTGTGGAACGATGGCGGTATGTGGTGACCGGGGATATTTGCACGCAGAGATGGGTTGATGGCGATGCCGATTGTACCACTTGAAGCAACAGTGCCGGCTTCTGATGGAGCTCCAAAGGATTTTTCGCTCATGGTACGGTTGTGCATCGATTGAGAGTCGCTTTTGGTGATATTAATAGTCCGCAGCTCGCCTTTGCCTGACTTACCCATGCTGACTTGTCTAGCAAGGCTGGAGCCAGGGCCAGAGCCTGTTGCGATGTCGATGCTATCTTTGTTTCTGATGCGTAGGGCTGACTTTGCCTTGAGTGCCTGCGCCATCTCGTCCTCGTTGTAAGCGGACGATCCGCCGTCGGTACCGATGGCTGCTTCACGCATCTCCTCGTATTTGAGATCGACAGTTTCAAACGGAGCGGAGCCCCAACTTGATGGAATCACTTTGCTCGACGCGAAGGATTTGACATTCCTCTGGATATGGGAGGGAAATTCCTCTGGAATAGGCGAGACGGTCGATCCAATTGGGTAGAAATTTCCTTGCGGGTCACGACGGCCGTTGCCTTGAGAGGGGTTAGAATTGGATCGTCGAGCAGGTGCTGGATGGGCTAGGATCTGACCGTGGTGAGAGTGATCGATTGATGGCACTGCTAGGGTGGTGCCGTATTCGGAACTCTGGGAGTAAGTAGACGGCGGTGAGGAAGTAGCTCCGTGGTATGGGTTGGACGGGGGATACCGTCTTCCTCTGGAGTCGTGAAGAAAAGTATCAACGGCGCTGGGCTGACGTGCAGCCCGCTGCAAGGCTGCCTGTGCCTGCGCTTGTGCCTCCGCCATTTCCTTAGCATAAGGATTGGTATTACGTCGTGGACGGGTCATGGCCGCAGGGTCCTGTACAACAGACCGTTTGGCGCCATGGCCCTGTTCTTTGCCCGTTGCAACGGGCGGCGGCCGTCTGCCGTGCCCAGAGAGACTCCTGCCAGTCATCTCATGTTCTTCGTGGTCCATATTTTGCCTGGCCTTTTCTCTTGCTCGACGAACAGAGCCCTTTCTCCCAACATCGTCAGCTCGGTTATCGTCCGCCATGGTCAATTGGAGGCTATCGTTATGGGGTCGACAGCTAGGCCGAGATTCTGTTTGTGTATATATCGACTCTAGATCGTTGGTTATTTGGTTGGTGGGGGGTCTTGGATACCGGCCACAGGCCAGATGCTATACCCTAGTCCCCGATGCGCTGTTAAGAATGTAATAATGCAAGATTGAATAGCAACCGGGATATCAAAAAAAAAAAAAAAAAATTTGCCGGGCAGAGACAAGAAAGAAGAATGGGATTGCAAATTGCTTGCCAGCTCCAGCAGGCTATCAAGTCAACCACTGGTTGATATCGAAGACACAGTCCCGAACTCTCCGGAGCCGCTGGCCCGAATGGAAAAGTAATCGAGAGCTAAAGAGGTAAAAAGGATTCCCACATCTACCTCAGCAGACGGATGGAGGCAGAAGGGAGAATTAAGAATGAGAAAGAGAGGAGAAGAAGAGAGAGAGAAAAGGAAATTCTCTCTGAAGCGAACGACGGTTTGAAGGGGAAAATGATTGTCCAAAAACCATGTTAGCCGGCCTTTACCTGGGTTTCCCTGGGTAAAGGCCCTAGGGCCGTCTCAAGTCTCCTCACAGCATATCCGATGATATATCGTGAGGTCTAATTTAGTTCTGAAACAGCTGGCAGACCAGGGCGAGGGCAAGGACGGGGGTCAACAGGTTCTCTCTTTGCCATGCAGCACCGAAATGCACCCTCCAGCGGCGCCCACCGATCCAACCATTCATCCATGTTTAAGCCGCGGCACGAGGCGGTGGTTGCTGGTTGACTCTTGATGGAGTAACGATATGTATTTTTGGGTGTGGATGGCAGGCGAGGTTGAAGCCATCTTGTAAGTTTTGGTTCCCACCGTGGATATGCTATGGAAACAGGAAAAAGGAATATATCCAAATGGCAAAAATGCAAAAAAAAAGGACATCAAGAGAGAGACGAAGAGATCTCCACTGCTTCGATGCCTCAGAGTTTGCCCAAATACGGACGAACGCCGACTCCACCGAAACAAGTGCATGTTTTTTTTTCTGCATCTCTTGCGCCCGAGGGCTGTGGCATGGAAGTATCTCCTATATGTAAAAAGACACTAGCTGGGAGGCTATGCTTAAATAGCGGCGGCCGTCGACATGCAGTTGATTTGTGTTTGTCTCAATCATATTTCCTTCTCGCTCGAGACGGTATGCTGGAGATGAACGGTACGTAAAAAAAGACCAAGAGATGATCCATCCATAAACCCTGTGTCCAGCCCATTCGTTTGGGGGCATGGAGTATAAATGAGATCATCCTGGGGTTCGTTGCCAGCAGAGACCCGGACGCTGCCATAGCGACGTTGGCAAAGGCCCGAACAAGGTGAAAAGGGAGTTCGAGTTCGATATGTGAAAAAAAAACCGGACGGTTGCTGGTAACCGGAAGACATCATCTCCGATATTTTCTATAACAGTAACAGTAGCAGAGCTGTTACACATCCATGGCTCACTATCAGCGCATTATACGCAACTAAGCTCCCGTTGCCTAGGGAGCTGGATAGTGGATTAAGACACTAAATGTCCGCCATCCTCTGTTCTTTTTCTTCTTTCCTTTTCTCCCTTTGAGGGCTCGCCTTTTATATCTTCGAGGGCAAAACTCGATCCATTCCTTCTTTTCTTCTCCTTTCCTTTCTGTTTTATAGACCTCGTTTTGCTGCTGAATCCCCGCGAACAGAATCTCGTCCGTCCACACTCATTTTCTTTTTTTCTATTCATTCCATTTTCCAGTCGCTGTTTCTTTGCATTGCTCGTTGTGGCCGCTCCGGTAGCAGGCACGTCCCAATTCGGCCATCCAGCGTCCAGGTCGTTCTGTTTGATGTTTTCTCCATAGACCTCGCTTCGAGTCGTTCAAAAAAAAAGGGCCGTCAAGTTGTTTTCTTGGAGTTCTGTTGGAGTTTGAAAGCTGGTCTGCCGGTCTGTCGATATAACTAAATAATCCAAATGTACAAGAAAACAATCTATATCCCAGATGTCTCTTTCATATCTTCTCCAATAGAGAGAGAATAGGCTGCTGAACTCTCCCGGGACAGATTATAGAAGCATTATAACATGCCCGAACCAGCGCCTCCGTCGTTCTCCAGCAAGCTTCAGGCTTCGAAGCGTACCCAGTCAAGCATGAACGGTTCACAGATGCTCCACGGAAAAGGTACATAACGTCTTCTTCCCCCCTTGTACCCCCCGGCCGTTCGTCACAGCCGAGAAGAAAGTCGAACGTTCTGGTGTGCGTCTGGTTGTGCAGCGGCAGCTGACTTGTAGATAATCCACCCTGCAGAGCGCTGGGGAACCTGGTCGCATCCCAAGCGGGCTCGAAAGCAGATCGTCCCGCCGTCGCCGCATACTCCGTCCCCGAGCCAGCGCGAGCCAGCGTCTTCTGCGCTGAGAAGGGTCTTTGAGCCACCGTCCACGGCCACCGCCAGCCCCAAGCAGGTGTTGAAGGACTTCCAGCAGCACCGCCAGCACCAGTCTGCGTCTGCCCCCCGGCCTCGCACCGGCAGAGCGCCCATCCCGCACTTCCGTACATACAGTCACACGCAGAGCAGCGCTGCAAAGTCGAAGGCTGCTGTGGCTCCGGAGCCAGACGACGAGGATGCCCTGGCTACGGCGCGCATACACGCCTGGCTGGACAAGGTCGAAGACGAGCTGATTGCTGCTGAAGCCAGAGCTGAACAGGCCAAACTCGAAGCCGAAATCAAAAAGATCAACGACGTGCAGCCTGCAGACGAACAGCGTGTTGGAGTTGAAGCCCAAGTTGCGCCTGAAGTCGAGGTTGAAGTTCCAAGTAAGTATTTTCACATCGACATCTACACTTCATACGTCTACATCTACACTATCTATACAACACTCATACACACACATATATGTATATATATGTAGTTGCTAACATATGTAGAAACGCCCAAACTGCCCAAGACACCCACCAGGAACCGTCGACTGGCCCTGGAAACAGACCTCCCCCGCGTCGACAGCGGCTGGGGCACCGCAAGCCCGGCCAGTATCAGCATGGCCTTCATGACGCCCCGGACAATCCCTCGGATCGAAGAAGACGATGCCGTCTGGGAGATGCTCAGTCCCAATGTGACGCCGTTCCGCAAAGGCAGAGGCCCCAAGCGGACTCGCCGCCGCAGCTACTACGACGAAGACATCTGGCCGAGTGCCTGCAACTCGCCGCAGTCTCTCAAACAGCCAGTACAGGTCCCAGCCCTCAGCTAGAGCCTGTCTCGTTTCTTTCTATTGTCTTTCTCTTGCTTTTTCCGTTCTCTGCTTTTCTTTTGTTCTGCATTACTCGTTCATTCAGGATCGTTCGGCATTCTCTTGATATCACTTTGCATTCATCAATTCCCCATTCTTTTACCATCTCTTTACCTGTTTTACCCCTGGTTTTACCCCGGTTTCTCCTTGCATCAAACATATACACATACGCAAGCATTGATTGCTTGACAGTTCGGCATCCATATATCCCACCCCCTTTTAATTCTAATGACTCCTGCCCGCGCGGAGTTTCCATCCCCCAGCTCAGTACTCTCAGCTCGGATAATATAGTTTAGACAGTTTGAATCCCAGTCACCTGGTTAGACATCGATTGATCTATGAAAATGCCGTGCAGGACGAATAGGGGAAAATGTAAACAAACGCTCAGGCTATGATGTATCACTTACGCCGAGCAGCTGTCGCAAACCTTCTACCTTCCGCTCGACCTCTCGCATCTCACTAACAACGCCCGCTAGCGCGGGGATCGGACCTGCCACAGCACCGCAGAAGGCCTCTTGAGCGTTCCTGAGTGGAGGAGGGACCAGAATCCCGAACCAGTGCAGCGGATTGGACGTCTTTGTTTCGGCCACCGTCTTTGTCCGTGGCTCAACCTCTTCGCTGAATGGCTCCTCTTGTTCTTCCTCTTTTGCCTCGTTGGGGGCGTCTTTGTCGTTGCTAGAGTCGGGCTTCATTTCGATAGTCACGGTCTTGAACGCGGGGGTTGATAGCGACGCTTCCGACTTGTTTGCCGGGTCTGTCATTGTAATTTCACTAGACATCTTTGTTAGACCAGGCTGCTCAATGTCTTTTATCGGTGGTCTGTCTCTGTACACATGTCTGGTCGCTTTCATCCGTTCGTCGTAGTAGTCTTCTCCGTATCGACGGCCGGGAGGGCATGAGTTGTTTGCTCGCGCAAGAGAGAAGAAGCCCTGCTCATGTTAGCCGTGTCCATAGTAGTGTCAGCCGTATTGACTGTCGTACACTTGCAAACTGCTTGCCTATGGCTTCCTGGAGCTTCTGCTGCTCGTCCAGCAGGTGGAGATAACGCTCCAGCAGGTCGTCGATGGCGCGGACGACATCTTCAGAGCGGGCTTCTCGACCGTCTGACGGGGATGCTGGAGGCGTCGGCAGTGTCTCTTCCATCCTATCTCATATACTTTGTTGTCAAGAGCTTCTGTCTTGTTCTTCTTTTCTTCTTCTTTTCAACCTCAACTTATATCGAGATCTTACATAAGCACAGCAAAGCACTCGACGAGCTTCAACTTTTCAACATCTCCAACTTCAACTGTTCAATCTGTCTTGTATATAATATCAGCTTCTTCCTCTTGAATGAGACGACCGACTACGACCGTCCAGCTGCCTTGATACCCCCTTTTTCTCTTCCCTTTGCCTTTCTTCTTACTTCGCTGTAGCTGCCGCGGACCAGGCTTATCTCCGACGCCCGTTTTTTTATTCCCTTCGTTTCTTCTTCGTTCATGCGGTCCGGCAGGTTCTGCTGCTTCAACAGATACTGCATACGATAGCAGTTCGCAGTCCGACAGGAAAGGCGATAATCAGGATCTACCGATCAACATCACTGCTATCACTGCCGGTTTTTCTCGACCTCCCTCCCGGCGCAGTCCTTGGCCTTGCTCGTTTTCATCCCAAAACAAGGCAGCCGAATAACAGGCATAATCCAGCCGGTCGAACTCCAAACGTCATCGTAAACGCATATTCAGCATGTCTGTACAGTCGCTGAACCAGAGTTCTGCCTTCCAGGCACGATCACTCGTACGTTCTCTGCCGGTCGTCGACGTTTTCACCGGCGTACACCAGCTAACTGTACATATACGCTGTAGTTTCGATCTCTCCTACGCCAGTCGAACCAATTCTCCGCCTACAACTTCCGAGAATACGCGCGAAGGCGAACCATCGATGCGTTCAGGGAACACCAGCATGAGACTGAGGAGCGGAAGATACAGGAGTTCATGCAGAAGGGGTTGACCAACCTGCGGATGATGAAGGTACTTTTCACCCGCCATCCCATTAGATCTGGTTTTAGACCCTGGCTAATCGCGTATTCCAACAGAGACAAACAGTGATAAGTCAGTTCTACCAGTTGGACAGACTGGTTGTAGAAGGGCAGAAGACAGTAAGCTGTCTCTCGATACATTCTCCATCAGCAAAGAGACTAACCCCCTTTCTAGGGCAAGGAATCCGGGAACGAAGGCAGCATAGTTCGACAAAATGACTCTGGGTAGGTTATACCTGTTGGCTTATACCTGTGATGCTGACTCTTTTCGTAGGTCAAACTAGACTGTCTATAGCTAGGAAAGGGAATAGGTATTGCTACGGGACGACATAGGGACTACTACGGGACCAAACCCTCGCTCTCTCCAACAGGGAATATGTAGAATATAGATTTAATGCTCCAAAAATTGTCCATATCTTTTATATCTTCTTCTCTTCTCTTGCTTCTCTGTCTTAGTCAGCAGCATGACTAAACATCTCAACTTCCATCGCAAACTTGAAGAAACCAAATTTCAAGCTGGCGAAGCTCGATTTGCGCCGTGAAATAAAAACAGTTGAAGCGATAGAAGCAGGATGGGCCTTGTAAGTCTTTATCTTCCTCCCTATATATACCTTACCAGCTCGGGTTACGGCTCTACGGCTGTATGGACGGTGGCTGGAGGCAAATCTCCCCAGGCGCGTCAAGGGCAGCATCGCGAGAATGAAGATCTATATTTCATGCGCGCAACACATATTCACAGTCAGGACACGCTGGTTTACTCATTCTATTCGACATACTGCAGAATCGATCCTCTCGCCCTAATCGATCGGGCCCAATCGATCACGATGTCTTTGAGGGACTGCCGGTCCGCCGCTGGTCTCGCCAGGTAACCACCTTCTCTCAAGAACCAAAACCGGCGGAGGAAGAAACGAGCATAGTAGACCCCCAGAGCCTACCGGAACTGCCTATGCCTAGAGACAGCAACCTCTTGACACCCGTCAGCCGAGCGCTTCTTCGTGCTGCCAGAGCCGGATGTACCTACATACGGCCTGTCCGCAAGGACCCAGAGCCTGAGGAAATTGAACAGAAAGATGACGATGATACGCTCACAGAGCCGCCGGTGGTCGAGCGGACTTTTACAGCTACGAAATGGACGATAGTGCCTAGGACCGTCGAGCTTCCTGAGGTGGAATTCTTGGCTCCCAGGAGAGCTGGGCTGCCGTCTTTATATGGAGCTGGAGCTCAATCCAACGGCGCCACAGCCGCTGGCTCGTCCACTCCGATGCGAAAGACAAAGTTTAAAAAGATAGACCCTACGACTGGCACTATATCAATATATGAAGCCTGGGTTCCGGACGGTTACGAGGTGGAAGGGGAGATCGTCCAGGAAGCCCAGGTCATAGCAGCAAATCCAGACGCTAAGGTTGTGAACGTTGACCCGGCCCCGGGAACTGTGGTTGCGGATATTGGAGTGGTGAATCAAGAGGGCGTGGTGGTTGCCAGCACTGAGGGCAGCGCAGTCGTGCCCAAGCAGATCAAGGCAAAACGGAAACTGAAGGCCGGCAAGTCAAAGAGCAGAAAGAAGGTGATGTTTGCTCCCGGGAATGGAACAGGACAGCCGGTGGCCCCTGGAGCTGAAGCATCAGGGGACGCAGCAGTCCAGTCCGCTGTTTCAGGAAATGACGCGACGACTTCTGGAACCGATCATGCAGCAGAAGACGAAGAGGAGGAAGACGACGATGAGGAGGGCGAGGAGAGCGACGAGGAGGACGAAACGGCACCCAACGCCAAGCCTACTCCAATGTCTGACGGCCCGGGTGATAGAAACAGTACCACTCCGGCCGTTGATACCCCGTTAGGCTCGCAGAATATGCTTCAACAATCACCTTCCGGCGGACAAGAATCTACTGTACAAACATCTACGGAACCTCCTCAAGGCCCCTCGAGCTCACCGGAAGCACCACTTGCCACGACTTCCATCTCTAAACACTCTTCAAAATCACCCGCCGAAGGACCAACGAAGGCCACCATTTCGACTGAAGCTTCAGACACAGCCGTACTTTCAACTGTATCACAGCAAGGGGGGACTGCCGATCAGCCTCCAGCTACCACGGTCAATGATGCAAAAACCGCTTCTCCCATAGTACCTATCCCGGAAAGCCTCGACGTCAAAACGGACGCAGCTGAGGGGGCAAATCGGGTTTCCCCTGGGAAAGTCGTTAGTCCCCAAACATCGGCCAAGGAAGAGCAGGTTTCACAACCGGATCTCCCACCAGGCAGTGAGGCAGAAGCTAAATCCCAGAGTCCTCCTGTTGCTCACACGTCAGATCCAATGCCCGGGCCTATATCCGAACCCCCCCCTAATCCATCCCGTCCATCCTCCAATGAGCCTGCGGAGGCACAAACTGCCACCACCTCTCTACATCCACCTGAAACAACTGAAAACAAACCCCAACCAACCTCAACTGGCGCCGTCCACTTCGAAGACGGGGAAGTCGATCTCTTGGGAAGCCTTGAGGCGAGCTTAGATAAAAACCCGGGCTCTACTAAGCAAAGTAAGCCAGAGGATACACCAGCTAGGACCACAGAACAGAAAGGAGATGATACCAATGCCCATTCTGAAATACCCTCTGCTAAAGATGGAGAAAGCAATAACGATGGGAAAGATGTTGAAATGACTGGTTAATATATTGTTTGGACTGGCGCTGTACCCTGTTTTCTACTACACTTTGTCATTTTGGAGACCTTTATAGGGGTTTGGTTCGTTAGAGTGATGAATCTATTACTTGTGGCGTAAGCTGTTTATTCACCTTGGGCCTATCATTATATTATGCCGGTTGGTTTGGGGCTGGCGTTTTGCGATATTATATAGCGTATGGAGTAGAATATATATATCCCCTTTGCATTCAAAGCTACCTTATATTTTACTTAGTACAGGAGCATTACCATGCCAGCAAAGAACGGGAGGACTTGTCCAACGTTTGATATAATAGTACATAGGTTGAATATGAATATGAGCCCAACAACACTAATAGCTCCAAAAAGGTCCTCCCTCTACTAATGCTAGGGAGTGTCAATACAAGAGCTGAGAGCCAAAGCACACTCCAAACCAAGGATTTCAGGACTTGGTAGATGCCCTGCGTCCACCTCTTCTTCCCTTCAGAGCAGTCTTAACCGCCGTAATACTGACTCTGGCTCTAGATGACATTCGGAGTCTGTTATTCCCTGCGGCTTGCCTTTTGGAAGACCGTGAAACAGACGTGAAGGGAACGTCAGCGGCAGCCGTTGTTACTGCCTTACTCTTTGCAGATTTATTGAATTTAACGCCCACTCGCTTCTTCGGTACCCTTATTGCCTTGGCTTTGGACTTGATACCCTGAGAAGCCTTTGAGACCGCTCTCTTCAGACCTGATTTGACGGGCGATTGCTTGCCGGCTTTCTGTTTCTTCGACGCTGGCTCATCTGCATTTCCCCGTGACTTGCGTTTAGTTCCAGCACCGCCTGATTTCGTAGTAGGTTTCTCCTTGGAGTCCTTTCCTTTGGGTCTTGGTCCCAATACGCCGCGGCAAGATGGAGTGCCACAACGGCATTCTTGGACATTCTTATTGGAGTATGGGCTTAATAAATGGTCAGCTTGGTTACTTATAGCGGCCGGTGTAGGGTTGATAATACTCAAAGTTATAATCATATGTCAGTTCCTCCCCAGTCATTATACCGTTTTCGCCAGCAAACAAGGCAATCCTAGGCTTCCCTGCAACAATCCATTTTTCCATCTTGCAATTAGGCTCACATGAATGGTTGACGAATCGTGCAATCGAACCCCGTGTGGCATCGATGATCATATTCTGATCAAAGTCCATTAAATAAAAGCACTATTGAAGAGAGTCAGCTTCGAGCATGGCCTTGGAGACCGACAGGGCAAAACAAACCTCGTTCTTCTTGTATATTGTTTTCATTCGGCGCTGAGCTTCGATCTGAGTGAGTATCTCCCCAGTATACTCGACAATAATTTGGTTGGGTTCAAAAGTTCTATTGCTCCGGACGCCATATCCGCGGCTTTCAGTTTTTATGACCTCGACTCCAATGTTATATTTGCCTCCGGTCTTGATACGATTGCGCAGCTTAGCAAAATTGCGGTTCCTGCACAGGTCTTCACCAAGTTTGCAATTATTATCATCACACTCGTAGAGCATATGACGGTTTTGGCAGTTTTCACCACAACCCATTTCAGGGGTACAGAGACAGGTGGACTGCTCGGTTGGCATAGTAGCCTTCCAGATACCGGCAGCATCCCCAACAAATATATCTGTTTTCAGTTAGTCTGGGAGACAGACTGATCAGTTTGGATATATGTTCTGCTTACTCTTATTTATCTTGCGCCACTCATCCGGTTTAGGTTGACCGCGAGGCAAGGGGGAAAATATATCATAAGGCAATTTAAAAGGTCTGCCTTTTTCTAACAGCAAGGCACCAGAGTATTTTGGCATAGGAAACAAAACACGTTCACGAGGCTTTTGTCTAGCCCCCCTTCGCCGGCTTTGGGGAGGTGGAAGTTCAAATTTGGCAAACGCATTTGGGCCTGCGTAAAGGCCATGCGAGAGCCATTTCTTCCTCTTGGGTGCAGTTATGGCAACTTCATGAGATGCAGACGAGGATTGCTGGTCCGTACCCTTGTCTTTCTCTGCAGGAGAAGCAGCGTTTTCGGAAATGCGCCTCTTCTTCGTAGCAGACTCTTCCTGGGGCTCTTTGCGCACAGCAGTCCTTGAACGAAGACTAGACCTTCTATCCTCCACCTTGGCCTCGGAGTTTTCAGCCTCCTTATCACCACGTTGCCTTTTTCCCAGAATTGAGGACACCTGGTTTAAAACGGTCTTGGTTTTCTCCAAGAGGGTTAACCGGCCAGAACGCCTCCTAGGCTGCGCCGGCTCAGTTTTCGTAGATGACCGCGGCTTTGACCCAGTTTCTTCCTTTAATTGTTCGTTCGTAGTACTATTTTCGGCGCTTCCCAGTGGTACATCTGCCGTAGTCTCCTCTGCGTATGGCTCTGATGCTCCGGCGGACAAGCCACGTCGACCTCGCGATGAACGTAGTTCGCGCCTTTGAGCCGGTTCACGCTTGACAACTGTTCCCTCCTCCGTAGCAGATGTAGGCACGGCTTTCTCTAGGCCATCCCCGTGTTTATCCCCCTCCGCTTCGGTGGTGTTGTTGGTTCCATCCTCGATAGCTGCTACATCTACGCGACGCGTCTGTGGCGGACAGATGTGAGAACCAGCCTTCGTAATTGGGATATCGACGTTGCTTGAGGTCTCTGAGACGCTTGTAGCCGGCGTGATGGTGTTTCCGGTTGACTCGAGAAGAGTTGAGTCGTTGTCTAGAGATGTAGATGTTGACGTTGACTCTCTGGCGACGCGCGACATGGCTGTGACCGCAGTCAATTAGAGCACACGAGAACTTATAGGTCAAATCAAAAGGTATCTTGCGTATAAAAAAGAGAAAGCAATAGCTTTTCTGGAGGAAATACTCGAGTTCTGGGCCAGGAAGAGAGAAGTTGATGGAATTGAAGATGTTTGATAGGAAAAAGAGGCGCGACGCGGAGGCAACAAGGCAGCCTTTCAAGGGATGAACGAGCAGGGAAGAAATCAACAATGCAAGGTAGAATAAATGCAGCATAAGGCGGCTAGCATGATAATATCCAGGATTCAAGCATTTACACGACTCATAGTCAGCTATTGTAAATATTGTAGGAGAAGTTGTTCGGGTTTCAGGAAGAATGCGCCACTGATAACTTTTATATAGGTTTACTGTTGGAAAAAGGGGCCGAAGATGGGCAAAAATATACTAGGATTTAGACATTAAATATTCGGATTCTAGCTCAAGTCTCTGAGAAGAAACAGCAAAACTCTTCGTCTGTAGCAGGTCAGCGTCTGAAGGCATCCGAGCCAGAGAAGGCCCCGGTGACGGGCGTGTGTACACAGGTCTATCTAGAAAGAAACAAACAGATGGCAAAGGTATAGTTAGTGCGTAGGCAGTCCGCAAGATAGAAAGGAAAATCCCATGGTCAAGATGGGGCGTAAGGGGGTATTAGAAGCATAAATCAGTCAGGGAGCAGGTCAATGGTAAGGTCAAACGATAAGGAGTCAAGATATACACGAAGTAGAGGTCGAAGGAGAAGAAGGAATGGATAGAAGTCCGTAAAGGTGTGATGTAGAAAAGGAGCTGACGGTAGAATACAGTGTTGTACATGGATTCGTTAGATCAGAGCCACAAAGGGAAGGTCAGTTGGCCGCATGGTCGTTTTGTGAGCTGGCTAAGGTGCCGCTGGCCAAGGTACCGCTGGCATTGGACGGATGTCCGTTGCTGACCTGCTGCATCTCGAGGCCGCCGTTTTGTGCCTCGATGTCGGTTCGCCGCTTGTGTACCTGGTAGGTTGCGAACCGCTGGTCACCCTCGATATGAGGTTTCTTGAATTGAAGATAGCTTGGGGTCCGGGGCTTCCCAAGGACAGCGCCGAGGTTCTTGAGGGCGTCTCCCTGGGTGAATGGGCGATGTCTATCTTCCTTCTTGAACTTGCGTGAGTTCAGGTATTCTCGGGTTGTCTCGCCTCGGCCCATCAGGAAGATATGGTAGACAGCCAGTGAGGCAGGGTATGTTGCCGCAAGACCACCGTATATGACCATGGCAAAAGGGACGCGCCACTTTTGTAAGGCTACCGCAAAGGTAACCCCTTCCTGGCTTTTATAGCTGAGGATGTGAGCAAGGCTTGCGGCGAATAAAAAGATGGCCAGTAGAGTACTTGAAGCAACGAAGCTGAAGAAGTACCGATAGTTCCGACGCCCGACACAGTTGTTGAGCCAGACACAGTGATGGTCCAAGGTTTCAACGCAGTTGTTGCATACCCGGCAGTGGTAGCAGCGTGGTGGTCGCCAGATGCTGCAGGTTTTGCAGTACTTGACCGGCACGTCCATAGCAGCGACGTCTGAAGTTGCTAGTTTGATCATAACCCAGTCACTGGTAGGAGGGCCAAGGGCTAGAGGGTCAGCACTGGGGTCAGTGAGGGGAAAGGTATGGAGATTTCGAGGAAGAATCTATCAATATGCGGTTAGCAATAGCCATACGTAGCGGTATAAAGGCAGGAGAACAACTCACGCCGGGATCGACTAAGGAAGCATGGAGAAACGATGAAAAACAGAGGTAGAGTATGTAAGCAAAGACGATGGGTATTCCTGGAGACAAGTGTTTCCACAGCCATGGGGCCCTGAAGAGACACAAGTTAGCAGTAGTCTCAAGCTCGATATTCAGAACATATAGGGGGCCCTTACGAGAACGCGAAAAAGAGAATCGAGGGTAGTATTATCAAGAATGCCGTCAAAATGTTAACCGGTCTATCGCGAGTATTCTGGAACCTGCCGCCACCGAAGAATGCGGTATTCCCGGTAAAGTATTCAAAATTTCTTCCCTTCTCAATGACCGGTTCCTCCTGAAGTTTCTCCGGCTCGGGCTCAGGTATAGATGTTGGGTTCGATGCCAGCCTTGTGTGGCTTCTCTGGTCACCACGACGAATCGTAGAGTCAGATGTGTTCCCGCCTAGAAGTCCTGATGGAAAGGACATAGGTGATTTGGATGGCGGTTCGTGTGATGCGCTGGGATTGGTATAGTTCTCTCCCAGGTTAACTTGAACTGGAGTTGACGATCTATGGGATCTATCATTGAGAAGCCTGACGTTGTCTCCAAGGCTGCGAAGGGTTGTATGCCCGGAGGGGCTGGCATTGGCCGTCATCCTGTCAGGCAAGATCGGATCCGTAAACTCCGTTCCTCTCGACGGAGGACGGAGCTCCTGGTCCAGTTGCGCGGTCGCGTTCGATACCATGCTCCTCCGCGCTTGACTTCCCACGTCACTCTGGTTGTCTTCACACCCGACAGTGCTGTTCGACGTCGTTGTAGGCCTCCCACCACGCTGTGCCTGTAGTCTTTGCGAGCTCATGGGGCGGAAGAAGGCCTGGGATGTGAGGGAGGATACGTGAGTCTTGCTCATCTTGCTCTGCGCGCTGGGTGGTCTTGTATTGGTATTCAGCATGGGATTCCTCAGCGGCGGCGGCCCACGACGCGACTGAGGCGGCCCAGGCTGTGACCATGATGCTGGATGCTGGACTCGCTGTCCGTCTTCTGATATGGCGCTGGACATCTGAGAGGAGATGTAGGACCCGCGAGCATTCTGGGGTGTGGGAGGCGGGAGATGGGAGTCTGAAGCATCGGGCTTCGTGTCAGAGGAAGCCATTGCAGTGATCGATCCGTATTATATTGTCCAGAGTCAACGGCAACGCTGCATTATCACGATATCAATATATAGAAGACCTCAAGCTCTCATAGCTGTACCTGGTCGGATGGAAGGCAGCGGCCGTTACCGTGCAGAATGCGCCTCAGGAGCGAAGAAACCCAGGGAATACAGAATATACAACAGCGGATATGCCCTTGAGATACCTTCTTCCTCTTCTCCGCGATATCTTCTTCTTCTTCCTCTTCTTCTTCTCGTCGTCGTCTTTTTGTTTGTTTCTTCTTTTTTCTCCCTTTAATTTCAAGATGCGTCATGTGACTACTGCTGACTCATCTTCCACGTGACTTGACCAAACAAACCGACGAAAGCGGAAAAAGAAGACAAGCAATCGAACGTCTTAAAACCAACAGCAAAGACAAACATCTACAGCTTCCAGCTTCTCGCTACCAAGGCAATTGACACAGCACCGTCTGGTCAGAACTGCTCTTCACCATGTCCTCCATCTCTGCCATCATGGCCCGCCGGGCTTTCCTGCGCCAGCCTGTCCGTAGACTGGTCACGCCACAGCCATTCCAACGACACTCCTCCTCCAGGGCCGCCGAGGCCGGTCTCGAGAAGGGCGCCAAAAAGGATCCTGAGCTCTATGTACGTTCGATAAGAGTGTGATTCATGCAATTGAAGTGGCCACACATGTTTTGGAACTCTCTTTTCGCGCGATAGCACAAGCTAAACGCTGATGGTGTTTTTAATATAGGTCCTTCTCGCCGTTATGGCCGGTGCCTTTGGAATCGTTGGCTGGTACCTAGGCAGCACTCCTACCACCGTCAGCTCCGAGAGCAACGTCCGTGTTGGCGAGAGCGGCTCCATGCCCTGGGAGATCGATGAGAAGGATTCCGAGAGCAAGGGCAACTTCAAGTACAAATACCACCCTCACGGAGACAAGAGCAAGCCCCTCAAGGAGGCTCCCAGTGCCCTGAACGAGGTCATCATTCCAAATGTGACCCTGCCAGCTGTACGTGGCTGGCCCTGTGCCGTTTCCCCTTTTCTCGTTGTCGTATATGGACGCATACTGATATCCCTGAACAGGACCTCCACGAACGATTCAACAAGTACGGAAAGGATCTCTAGATCAAATTCCAGGCTATACCGTCATGGGGTGGATTTTGATATTATGCTTAGAGTCAACCGCAGCATTGAGACTCCTGTACATATTCCTACAATTGTAACATCTTGTCATCTTTGCTCTCTCCCCTCACTGCTATATGCCACCCCTTGGTCTGCCTGATCTTTCCTTCAAATGTTCGGTTCATACCGACGGCCATACCATACCATGCATCTCGATCCCATACTCTATTGTACAATAGAGTATAATCATGCTAATTGCCAACCCCCTATGTTCAACCTATGTATCATCCATATTAGCATTATATAGAATTATCAGAAAAAATATATTGAGCACAATCATCATCTAGAGTAGATATTTCTATTTTTTAGATAAAACATGACACTGATACTTCAAACGTCATCGCGCGCACAAAACACGCCATAAAGAGTTATTAATATATTACAGAAAAGAGAACAAGAATGAAATCCATTAGATATCGTAGAGATTCAATTAGTTTGTAGCAGCATTAGCCTCGCTAGCGGGCTTTGGCTTTCCCTCTTCCCTCAATACTGATTTTCCCTCGTCTTCAACAACAGCAGGCTTGTCCGCTGGTGCTTCTGCTGCATCCTTAGCGACGGTCTCCGGGTTGGAGCCCTGGACATCAGGATGTTCGGGGGCGACAAGAGCTTCCTTGGGGATTTCTCGTCCCTCGCTGTCAACCAGTCTAGTTCGGGTCTCGTAGCGGGTCTCGAAGGAGATTTCTCCCTGGGATTCGAGAAGCTTAACCTGTTCCTCGTTTAGGATGTTCCCCGCCTTATCGCGGTACTCAACTTCGCGGACTCTACGGATCTCCTCACCCAGTTGCGGCAGGTGATTGTCAACTGCTTTCTGTTGGTCAGGGGCCTGGTCTACCTGCTGTGAAGGTTGCTGTGAAGGTTGATGTTCCTTCTGCTGTATTTGAGAGGGTGGTGTAGCTACGGATGTTTGGGCGGCGTCTGGGGTGATGTATTCAGGGGTAGAATATTGGGATAGCTGACCAGGTCAGTAACTCAACTCAACCATGCCCGCGTTGGGGAGCTTTCCAGGTTGGAGCACTTACGTCAGTATGGAAAAGGTTGCAATCAAAGTCCCAGGTAGAGATCAATTTGGTCTTCTGGCACATGTCTCTAGTCCAGATGTTGCCATAGGCCAATGGCGAAAGAAGGGCAAAGGCAGCAAGGCTGAGAGTCAAGAACGCAACGATAAACAGCTTGCCAAAGGCGGATGGCTTGACGAATCTGTTAGCGGCAAAATCGAA